ACACTGTTCCGCGGAGATCAACCATTGTGGCAGGACTTCTTACCGCGGTCTGTCCTACTTGTGACTGGTAATCAGAGCATGTGGGCAGCTGGCTGCGAGGATGGATCAATCTATCTTTGGACACCCGCAGGTCGTCGTCTGGTAAGTGCGCTCGTTCTCGAGGCACAGCCTGTCATCTTGGAGTGCAATGGACCGTGGATCCTGTGCATTTCCTCCGTGGGCATGTGCTATGTCTGGAATGTGAAGCACTTGTCGTCTCCTCACCCACCAGTCTCCCTCCAGCCAGTCCTGGATGCTGCAATTCATACTATGGGCGTGACTCCCACCGCCGCTCCCGCAGTAACAGACGCACGCATTAATTCGGAGGGTCGAGTCATTGTTTCTTTGTCTAACGGCGAAGGATACTCCTATTCCCCATCAATGTTCACATGGCAGCGCATCTCAGAAGCCTGGTGGGCCGTCGGCAGTCAGTACTGGAACACCACAGACGCACCCGTGAGCAACTTGCAGGCCAAGGATGCACAGCAAGATAACAAGGATGCGAAGGCAGCTGTTGCCGCCGGCATTATTCCTTGGTTGGAGCGAAACACCACGAATGAGACCCTCCTTCGCGGAAGAGCATACTTCCTCCAGCGTCTCATCAAGGTTTTATTGTCACGCGAAGGTTATGAGACTTTCGAGTCCAGCGTATCAATTGCTCATCTCGAAAACCGTCTCGCTGCTGCTCTGTCCCTGGGTGCCAAGGAAGAGTTCCGGTTATACCTATCCATGTACGCTAAGCGCATCGGTGCCGAGGGTCTGAAACTGAAGGTTGAGGAGCTCCTAAAGGGTCTCATCGGTGGTCTTTTTGAGGATGAAGACGAGGACAGTGAAGGAGTCTTGAAACTGCAGGACAACCAGCGCGATGGCCGTAACTGGCGCGAAGGATCTGATGATCTGTGTGGCTGGCCACGGGAGACTTTGTTGAAGGAGGTGATTCTAGCGCTTGGTATGTTTCTTTCTTTTTTCTTTTTTCTCTTTCTTGACGATTCAATTACTAACGAACGTTCATCTAGGTAAACATCGTGACCTTCAACGCGTGACAGTTCCTTACGCCAAGCTGCTGGATATGGTTGACAATACCTCTGAACATGGCGATGCAATGGATCTTTAATGATGTTTTCTCTCTGGCTATCTATACCTTTTCTTCTTCTTGCTGGCGTTCAATAAGTTCGGGCTGGGTCAACCCAAAGGGTTTGCATTATTATCTCTGCTGAGGCGGGATTGGAGATGATAAATCTCATTTTCATGGTGTATTTGTATCATAGGTTCACTTTTGGGTCGTTATTATTTAAGCCAACCTGTTCCTATCTTGCCCTAGTTTGGTCTTGTTCTAGGATCAACCAGACAGACCCTAATATCCCTCGATACACACAGTATTACGTACATGACACCCACATGGATGTAGTGACGTCGTCAGGGCTTGACTCTCACGTGGGCGGTGGCAGCTCTGCAGGCAGAAAATTTGAAGATATCTGGCGCGTACCTCGTCAACATTGCATTTTGATAGCTAAAGACGCATTCATTTACTCTCTTTGTACTCATAGACCTTGTCCGCAATTGCTGTGGACAACCGCCATCACGTCTTCCACATCATCTATCTTCTTCCTTCGTATCGTCGATCGATCCGCAGCTGGTCCTGCATTTGGCGCGTTCCATCCTTGTTCCCGCTTCCGCCTTTCAACTTCCCCCCACCTCCCACTTCTCTTCTGTCGCTTCTACTCAAGCAAGAAGAAAAAATCCAATAAGATGCCTCCCAAGAAGCAGCAAGTCCAGGAAAAGGTCCTTTTGGGCCGTCCAGGAAACAACTTGAAGAGCGGTATCGTATGTGAGCTAGGCCCCCACCCATTCTTTTTTTTTTTCCTTTTTCCACACAGCACAGTCCACTTTTACTTCCGAAAAACTATTTAAACCCCCTTGTCCCCCTTCCCTCCCGCCTTTTTTTTTTCTTTTCCTCCTCAACCATGATTGACTAACAATATGGCTTCAGGTTGGTCTTGCCAATGTCGGCAAGTCGACACTCTTCCAATCCATCACCAAGTCCTCCCTCGGTAACCCGGCCAATTTCCCCTATGCCACCATTGACCCCGAGGAGGCTCGTGTCATCGTTCCCGATGAGCGGTTCGACTGGCTCTGCCAGCACTACAAGCCCAAGTCGCAGGTTCCTGCCAATTTGACTGTGTACGATATTGCCGGTCTCACTCGCGGTGCCTCGACTGGAGCCGGTCTGGGTAACTCTTTCCTGTCACACATCCGCGCTGTCGATGCCATCTTCCAGGTGGTTCGCTGCTTCGATGATGCCGAGATTATTCACGTTGAGGGTGACGTCGATCCTTGCCGTGATCTGACCATCATCAACGAGGAGCTCCGCATCAAGGATATCGAGTTTGTTGAGAAGGCTCTTGATCTTCTTGGCAAACAGACTCGTCGTGGCGGACAGTCTCTGGAGATGAAGAAGCTCAAGGAGGAGGAGGCTACCACTGCCAAGATCCTTCAATTCCTGAAGGATGGCAATGACATCCGCAAGGGTGACTGGACCCCCAAAGAGGTATGTTGGAATTTTTTCCTTCTTCTTTTCCCAAATCAACTTGCCCTTCCAACTCCTTTCCTGATGAATAAGAGCACTGCTCGAAATTAACCCAGCTCGTTGAGTGCCCTCATTAAAAGGATACTCACAATCCGAGGGCACCTTGAGAAAAAAAGTTATATGCTGAAATTTTGGAGTCCACTTCTACATGATTGCATCACTCATACTCTTTGAGAATCCTCATGCTAACCGAATTGGTTATAGGTCGAAGTTATCAACCCTCTGTTCCTCCTCACTGCTAAGCCCGTTGTGTACCTGGTCAACCTGAGCGAGAGAGATTACATCCGCCAGAAGAACAAGTACCTCCCCAAGGTCTTCGAGTGGATCAAAACCAACTCTACCGGCGACCCAATCCTTCCTGTCTCAGCTCAGTTCGAGGAGCGTCTGACCCTGATGCACGATGATGCGGCCGCTGAGGCTGAGTGCAAGACTCTGGGCACCAAGTCCGGTCTGCCCAAGATCATCACCACCATGCGCCAGTCCATGAACTTGGGCAGCTTCTTCACCACTGGTGAGGACGAGGTTCGGCAATGGACCATCCGCAAGGGCATCAAGGCTCCCGCTGCGGCTGGTGTCATTCACACGGACTTCGAGAAGACCTTCATCCAGGCTATTGTGTACAACTACGCTTCTCTCCGTGAGTACGGTGATGAGAATGCGATCAAGGCTGCTGGTAAGATTATGACTAAGGGTAAGGATTACGTCGTCGAAGACGGCGATATCCTGCTCATCAAGGCTGGTGCTGCTAAGCACTAGGTGCACATAGACAATAGTTCTTCAAATGATACACCAGTGTTGAGTCTTGACATTTTTTCAACTGTAAATTTCCTTGCCTGTTGCAAATCATCATTGGTAGGTCAATGTTGCAGAATATACCTCATTTCCCTTCTGCATGATTCTTGCCTTGATATTTCTTGCCTTGGTATTTGAAGGCTAAGCCTACAATAGCTCATATTCATAGTGTAAGATCATACATTCTATTTAAGCTGTTCAGCATCAAAAAATCCGAAGCACTTAATCGGTCACGTGACCACCTCCCCGCGCATCCCACTTCGGTATCAAGAGCTTGATTCTTGTATTATCACCACCTCAACAAGCATCATGTTTAAGAAAGAGTGAGTCAAACGCTTTAATAAACCCACGACTAGCCCAGTGGCTTGTTTGGAACCTCTTGTCTACCCAGTGGGAGCACATATCTCCCTCTGTTTGAAGACCTGGAAAGACTGCAGGAGCTGTCCAATACTCCATACCAAGACATACACAGCGCCCATGGGATAAATCTTGTTGGAAAAGTTTATCAAAAACACCAGCTAACATCCGTGCTCCATCTAGTATTCCCCCAAGCAACCGGTCTAAGGTGAAGTCCTCGGTGCAGCGCGGCCTGCGCCAGAAGCTGCTGGAAACATACCCAGGCCTCGAGCCCTTCATTGAAGATGTCATGCCCAAGAAGGCCTCATTGGAAGCCGTGAAACTGTAAAGTTCCCGTTTACCCATCTTTTGTTTTCCGATTCCAGCAACGTCATCTCCGGCTTTCGACATGAACGTGCTACATCTTATTCTGGAGACCCAAACGCTAACTACAACCACCATCCTAGACCCGATCGTGTGACCCTCTACACGATAGACTCAACCCCCCTCTTCTTCCAACCTATCGATGGACCCCCAGTCCCACACCTCCGCCTCATCCACGCCTACCCCTCCGCCATCCCGACAATCCAGATCGACCGTGGTGCCATCCGCTTCGTGCTCTCCGGCGCAACGCTCATGGCTCCAGGTCTCACATCCCCCGGAGGCCGTCTGCCTGATGCCGAGCATGCCCTTGAGGCCGGACAGATCGTTGGTGTCAAGGCTGAAGGGAAGGAGGAGATTTGTATGGTTGGTATGCTGAAGGTTGGCACTGAGGAGATCAAGAGTAAAGGGAAGGGAGTTGTTATTGATGAGGGCCATTATCTTGGTGATGGACTTTGGAGAATGCATTTAGATTAAGGGACATGGTTTTCAAAAGAAGCAAGGGATTCATTGGGCTGGGGTTGCGGTCTTTTGGGATGTTTGGCTTGGAACTATACCTTTATACCTCTATACCTCTCTGCACGCATGGCGATGATTATGTGTTGGATGATTTGAAATGAAATATCCCCCTGGACAAGGATCCAGATTGGTTCAATGGATGTATTGATTGAATGTAGATAGCTTCTTGTATCGCCGTAAAAGGCTTTGTAATATATGTAGGAGAAGCACAGGTACATGATTACCGGGGTATTCGGAGGTTCTTAGGTTGAAATATATATTTTGACGATGGGGCCGGTCCGCAGAAACTTCCCACTTCCCCCTTTTCATCAGTGTCTCCTTTGATCCAGTCGACACTTATTTCACGATGCCTTCCAACGGTGGGAAATGCCGATTGTGGTCTCAGCCAGTGAGTCAAGCCCAAGGAACCTTGAAAGCATATGATACATAATAATTCAAACATCTCCAGAACGAGCCGATCATCCCGATTAGGCGACGACGCCAGCTCGGGTTGTTTGACACGTTTGGCCGATACGGGGTCATAAGAGCAAAATATAATGCCGCTGTGAGAGATGGACATGAACTTTTCATAGCCCATGAGTCTGACCTTATTCCAGTCCGACTGGTACTGCAAGCATGAATATGACTAGAACCCAAACGTTGAAGCTTACCATTACATCAATACGTTAGTTGTTGCATACCTGCTACCTGTGAGCATGTCTAACTACAAAGTACCCATCTGATCCTTTGACATATAGAACCGGCTGGTACACCTCAATAAACCCAGACGGAAGTCAAGAGAAGCTCCATGTGAAAAAGAAGACAGCGTACCTCCCGCCTTACAGCGGTACTTGGGAGGATTGTTCGGGGGAAGTCGATTGGGATACATTACCAGAAATACCCGACCTTTGTATTGCGACAGGAAGCCGTCCTACCCCTTGGATTTGGGAGGAAATAAAAAGGCTAGAGCAGGAAGAAGGTATGGTTGGTTCGTCCGTGGCATGTGGCATAGCTAATGCCACAAAGCCGCAATTGAAGCAGCCCAACGACAATATGACGGTGAGATTGAATCACTGGCAACACGACTGACCCATGGCTGATATTGAGCAGAATGGGCTACAAACGACGTCTGGAATCACGGGTGCAATTATCCAGACCGGAAACTGTCTAATGAAGGGAGGATGTCGAATGTCAACGAGGATGTGATGTCCGAATCCGCGAGCGAGACCTCGGTGAAATCCGAGGGCGACACATCTGGAACCGGTTCCTTCACTGGCTAGACCTCCCAGGACGAGCTGACCGAGGACAAATTGCCCCGAAAGAAGAAAAGTTCAGTCAACAAAGTCTCGACACAGCTTGTGCTAGCCATAGATGCAAAGGAGACGGCTGCAAGCAACGCATCTGAGGATGAAAATGAAGCGGCAAAACATACCGGCGTTAAATCCAAATCACGTCAACGGAAGATTGAAAAGCCAGAGAAAGAGCAAAAAGAGCACAAGAAGCAAAGGAAACAGAAAAAAGCCGAAAGCAAGCAGGGCGGGGAGGAGAAGAGTCCTCGAGCGAGGAAGATGGGAACTGTAGAAGAGGAACCCGAAAAACGACAGTTCGAAGAGCAGGAATCCAAGGAGAAAGCCGAAGAGATGAAGCTTGCAAAGAAGCTTGCAAAGAAGCAGAAGAAGCAGAGAAAGCTCGAGGCGAAGCTTAAGGAAGAATCATGCCGAAAAGATTCTGCGGCCCTATCAAGTCGGAAGCGGAAGGCCGACAATGAAGATGAAGTTACCACGACTTCAAGGCAACACAGAAGAAACAGCATAGGACTTAGGGGAGTGATCAGATAGATAGGGGCCGAGATATGCTTAAGGATGAAGCATGTAATTCATTCACACAGTTCACACAGTTCACACAGTCTAAATAGGGAAACTGGTCATGCTCCGTGGAGAATAATGAGCCTCGATGCTACGAGTGCCTCTAGTCGAGCTCAACGGTTACACAACCGGCGTCTCTGTTGCTTTCTTTCCTAGACGATATTTGACCCAAACTTCCAGGATAATCTCCCCCGAATGTCTCTGGCTGTAAACACAGATTTCCTCGGGTCTAGTGATGCACTCGAGCAGTGATGATGTATTGGACGAAGAGTGTCATGTAAAAGGACCAGAGAAACAAACCCCACATGGATCACAAAAGCTGTCCTCGGTGATATTCCGAAGGCCATAGGTGATTGGTACATGGATGTGGAGTGTTCTCGAGGCTCAAAATCCGTTAGAGGAAATGTAATTTGAATCTCAAATGCCCCGAACACGTATAGTGTGGGAGTGAAGAAGTAGAAATGTTATCTCCAGGGCTGGAATATCAAATAACGACAACAAGCAGAGAGCTGGGCAGGCTCGTGGATTATGATTATTATAAATGAAGTGAATATAGCCAAAAAAAAAAAAAAAAAAAAAGTCAAGCTCATGCATGCATCAACCGATTACATACCTAGTCTACATCAATAGATGAAACCTCGAAAGGCCGACCAACCACCTGCAAAAAAGAAAAAAAAAGAAGAATCCCATCCATTCATTACCATTCCTCCATGAATAACCCAATTCTAGAAACATAGTTCTCAATTCTCCACACCTTGAAGCTGAAGTCATACCAAGCGTCGGCACATACCAAAGCCCGGCACATCAGCCGATCTTCAAGTTGCAATTTACAGGAGAGCGAGGACACCAGCCAGAAGACCAGCGGCGGTAGCGGGGGCAACCAGACCCATAGCGGCACCGCTGGAGGCAGAGGGAGAGGCAGAGCTGGTAGAAGTGCTGGTGGTGGTGGAAGTGCTGGTGGTCAGACCGGTAGTGGTGCTAGTGGTCAGACCGGTAGTGGTGCTAGTGGTAGTTCCGGTAGAAGTTCCGGTAGAAGTTCCGGTAGCTGTACGGACAGAGGTATCAGTGCTGTGCTTGCCAGGGGTGGGGAGACCAGTAGTAAGGGAGCCAGAGGTAAGGGTTCCGGTGGGGGAGGGTTTGATGATAGACACGTCCGGGGTGGAAGTACCAGTAGTGGAAGCCTCGGTTTCAGTGGTGGAGGCACCAGTGGAGACAACAGAGGTCGAGGCAGTAGAAGAGGAGGAGACAGTGGAAGATGTACCGGTAGTAGTAGAGCTGGAGGAGCTCTCGGCGGTCACATTGAACTGCTCGGACTGAGCGAGGATGCCGGTGTTCTTGGCCTCAGTGGAGAGCAGGTTGATCTGGAAACCGGAACTGCAGTGTACATTAAGTGTTAGTAGACATACAATCGACGCGCCACAAAGGCGATCTTACCCATTGCTGACGTCCTTCAGACCACTGGCAGTGTAAGAGCCCTTGGAGGTGTCGATGCCAGAGGCAATCTTCTCATCGACGGGGGGTAGACGGCATTGTTGACAAGGACGATGTCAACAGTGGAGGCGTCGGTGCTGTAATTGGTTAGTTTTGGCTGTCATGGCTAGGGTAAGATGTGAGTGATCATAGTCGACATACTTAACGGATGTCCATTTCACGGTGAAAGATTTGGACAGATCGAGGTCGTCGCCCTTGGAGGGCTCGGTGACCTGGATAGCTAGACTGATTATTAGAGAGAGTCTCGCGTCATATGGTGATTTACATACCTCCAACGGAGAGGGCCAAAGGCAGGAGAGACAGAATGGTAGAGAAACGCATCTTGACTAATTAAAGCGAATGTAGTGGATTAAAAAACGAATGAATGTTGGAGTGTAAAAGAGCGAGAGAGATGCGAGAGAGAAGTTGGAAGATGGAAAAATAGTCAGATTCAAGGGTCCATGTCATTAAGTAGGTGACCAAACATTTCATTTGATATTGCACAACCTTGGATGCCCTGAACCGTCAACAATGTCTCTGGCACCCACTACCAATACGGAAAGATACCTGAAAATAGAATTGACATGGCGAGGTACCCGGTTTTAGAGCATCCCAAAAATATTTTAAACATTTTATTATACACAACGTGGGAATTCAGGGTCTCAGTAAGGTTCCATGTGGAAGTAAGTAGAGCTTCATGGCTCGCCGAGGAGCTAGTTTCAGGCGCAAATTCCACTTTCGATTTTGGGGAAGATGACTCCGTGTTCCGTACTCTATTATTCGATGGGAGTTCCATGTTATAATTGTGTCCGTCGTTATTTTTTACACCCGGAGGTGGCCCGTCCACTATGGATCCCAACCATCGATGTGGTCCGCCGATAGGGTCGATAAGAGGACGCTAGATAGGCTTGGCAATCCGCTAGTGGTATTTGGTACAGTCTTGGCATAGAACAAAACCCGAGCAGTATGAAACGTGGAATTACGTATGTATGGTATCCGTATTTTTGAATTGCAAATTCTGCGGTAAATTACAGAAAGGCAATCTGGACCCTGAATTTTCATGTATCCTTTCATTAGCTCGAGCAAGGGTGTTGGCCACCAATTTGAGCGAAGATCAGCAAAGCCTAATCATCCATGGGGTAAGGGGAATCAAAAGGCTGTCCATGAGTATTCATAAATCCATATCCAATATTTACTCCGTACGAATGTCTCAGAATGAACTCGAAAATGCTGCGAACACACCGTTTCGATGTCTCAACGAAGACCCACTCCACAGACCAATTTCAGGATTGAGATATATCTGAATTTGGGGGTCTCGGACGACACGCTAAATGAACCATAAGTGGGAGCACTGGAGGCGATAAAATGAGTGTCTCAGAACCTGCAGGCACGTTATTATCTCTTTACGGACAGAATGGTGCCATTTCCCAGTCGAGTAGCGGTCAATTACGGAGTCAGATCCGAATCAGTAAATTCCTTTTTCTGAGGTACTTATGATTTGTCGAATACGGCAGGAAGATACGGAGCACGGAGTTCCAAGTGTTATCACAAATATTAGATGTTGTACATAATTTTCGCACCGGAGAACCCCCGGGGATGTGCCTTGCGCCCAACAAAAGATTAGGTATCGTAGATATCCACGTTACTGGTAGCACGGAGTTAGTAATCAAGCCACAATCAGTGCTCCGTACGGTGTACTCGGCTGGGAAAGGATACATACAAGTCCCTCTTGAGACCATCCCGGCCCATGGTAGCCGAATCGACCCAGACGCTAGCACTCATCGCCTGGACACCGAAGTCTCCATACCCCTTCTTGTTGATAATGACAGGTTTTATGCTAGGATGCAACAGATCGGTCCATTGCTCATATGCATGTTGTTGACCGACAAACATGCGCTGCACACCCGGACCAGCGTTGCTGATAACACACGCGAGTCCGGATAGGTGACGGGCGTTTCCGTAGCGAACGAATCCTGTATCGCAGTCAGATCTGCTAGTGTGGATACGTGTTCCCCATAGTGGGGCGCAGTAATCCAGGGGTGAAAGGGCCAAGCGAACCTATGCAGTTGGGTTGGTTGAAATAATCCTGCTGTTCGCCGTAGGCATAGAGTTTCCGGGCTTGAGTTAGGACGGGAAGATGACCGTTGCAACTTGGTGTCATTGGGTTATCCACATTCGCCCGTATCCCGTACAGGTCACCATAGAATACGCATGGGTGACCGTCTTTGCGGAGGAGGACCAATGCGTATGCTAGTAATTTAAAGGAGTGCGCCACTGGGGTCTGGGCTTTGATTAGCCGTGCTCGGGCCTTATAAAACTGGGAAGAAGTTGACTCACCTCCAGCATTTGTCCTGGTTGCTGCTGAGAGTTAGGTAAAGAAGTAAATATGCCAAGATCAGACACAGTTGGTACTTACCGTATCGTGATTCGAAACAAGGGTCTGGAGAAGTTAGCTTTGTATCATTACTCGAGCGTCGAGGAACTCACCACAGCGTGGTCCGGCCGACACTGTACCAATGTATCTTTGAAAATCCCGCGAAGATCTGGTGCCTTGGCATGGGACAACTTGGAGAATCGCTCCAGGAGAGGTACATCATATGCAGCGAGATCATACTCTACCTTCTCGAGGTAATGCAGAAGGGACGGTAAATGTCCAGTCCAGTACTCTCCGATGGCGAAAAAGTCCGGGTTGACGGTTTTCCGAACATATTGCACGAATGTGCGTTGGAACTCGGTTGAGAAATGCTTAGCGGCATCAAGTCGCATTCCATTGAGGCTTAGGGATTTGGTGATCCACGTTCCCCATTGCAGGAGGTCTGCGCGGACTTCTGGGTGTGTAAGGTCCAAATCGGCGAACATCAGGTAATCGTAGTTTCCATTCTCCGTGGACACATCTTGCGCCCAGTCCTTGTTGGATGCGACAATCTTGTAGATTGCGTTTTGCTTGCTCTTATCGTCCCAGTCAACGCCGCTGAAATGTTGCCAGTGATACTTCATTGAGCTGTACATGTCACCGCGACCGGCGAAATCAAAGCCTGTCCAGCCATGGACTTCTGTCGGCTTAGATATATCCAGATCTCTTCCTGTTGTTTTATTTTGATCAGCGAAAATCCATGATTGAATATCAACGAAGAGAAGGATGAAATCGCTCACGTTTAGGATCTACCTTGACAGCCTGAAAAGGCTCTGGATAGTCCGCGCCAGCTTTATGATTGAGCACAGCATCCCAGATTACACCAATGCCCAAGTTCTGCGCTTGGCACATCAGGTCTTCAAGTTCACGCTTGGTGCCCCATTTCGTGGGGACTGCGCCCTTCTGATCGAACTCCCCTAGGTCGTACAGATCATAGATGTCATAGCCATTACCATTCACATCCATTCCCTTGCATCCGGGAGGGATCCAGATCTGATCAACGCCAATGGCTTTGTACTCTGGTAAGGCATTCTGCAGACGACGCCAGTGCTGCCGGTCGGTGGGAACATGCCATTCAAAGGCTTGCAGTATGAGCGAATTATCTGGAGCATTCCATGATGGTAGCTGTTGTAGATTCGCTGCTGCTTCTGTACCATGTATGCAGGTTAGAGCTTCGAACTGTTTTCCGGTCGGGGATACTGACCTTCAATCTGTTTCCATTTCTGGCCTTTCTGTCGAGATCCACACCACAGGAAAGACGGCATTGCGGGATACCAAATGGCAAGTCAAGCTATGTCAATGTCCAGCTAAATAGTACTCAACTAGAATATGCATATCCTCCCTTTTAGGGCTTGGATGTGGGGCGACTATATTTGACTTCGAACTGTTGTAAGGTACAGGTTTTGCAGTTGGAGGTGTCTCCATTTATTATTCTCAAATTATTAAAAATGTCTCAGACGAAAATTTCACCCAAAGGAAAATTGGAACTTTTCTAGAAGAAAACTCCACCTGAGATAATCTCATTGGCTACCGCCGGCCATAAATGCGTGACATGTAAAATAATAGTAAATAGGAAAAAAAGCCCATAATCATATAAAGGCCAAAGGGCGCGTGTCAGGAGGGAAAAGACCAAAAATATCGCCAAATAAAACAAGAGGTCAAAAATATGGCACAAGAAAGGATATCTCCGCGAACCAAGCCGAGTCGTGGCTCAATGGGGGGAAAAAGGGTAAAAATAGAAAATGAAGATCGGAAGATCGGAAGATCGGAAGAAGAATGAAGCGAATGAAGAGAGAAGGAAAAAAGAAGGGCTGTCGAGGTATTTCAAACGAACATGACGAACATGCTGGTCATCACGGCTAGCAGTAGGGTGGCTACACCGGTACCACTGGTAAATTGCATTCCAGCCGACGTCGAACTACTGCCAGTCTCCAACATCGCGAGGGTAACGTTCGTCTCGGGGTAGCCACAAAGACCACTACCCTCCATATATTGTGTGGGGAAGAAAACCCGTGGCTCTCCCTTGTTCATATCGACACGCAGCAGGCCCTGGTTGTCGACAGTATAGTTCTTACAGTTCAGAACATCCATGATCACCGTGCCAGCATTGTAAGTGACTGCCATGTCGAGGTTGTAAGCCCCACTGGTCGAAGGTTGAGTGGACAACACCATGACTACTTGTCGACCCTGGACACCCTTTGTGAAACCAAGCTCACTGGCTCCCTGGTAGATCGTGTGGGTCGAGTCCTCAAAGTAGTTTGTGCCCAGTAAGGCTGCGTGGTTCCGAATGCGATTCAGCTTTGCGATTAGCTGGTAGAGCACCGCATTGGTGTCGTATTTGGTGAGCCAGATGGCTTCTCGGTTGACAGGCACCGAGTTCCCCTTCAGATGTTGCTCTTGACCTTGATATATCATCGGGATTCCATCAAATAGCATGGTAAACACTAGGACATTTTTGGCCATCTGCCAAGTACCATCATTAACAAAAGCGATCAGTCAACCCGAGGAGGGCACACATACCGCTATGTCATCGGAGTAGCTACCAATTCGAGGTTTGTCGTGATTTTCGGAAAAAGTGGCCATAGCATTGACATCTGGCATGGTGATTCTCATGTTCTCCACTGCTTTCGCCAATTGAGACGTATTGCCCTGGGTGAAGGCATCTATGATTTCGAAATAGATCGGATAATTTGGCAAACTGTCGATGTAGTTGCTCTGATAATCTTCCATGATGCTGACTGCCCCTTCAAGAACTTCTCCTGTCATGAAAGTGTCGACACCATTGGAGAAATTTCGTAGAAAACCCGTATTAACGTGCTTGGCAGCGTCAATGCGGAGTCCGTCAATGGAATAGGTCTTGATGGCGTTGTTTGCCCATGCGATCAGAAGCTGTTGGACATCTGCATGCTCGGTGAAAAGGTCTGGCAGCGGCACGTCTAGATCACCTGTCTGACACCTTTGTGCGTCGGTCATGTTTTCCCAGTTTGTGATTTTGCAGTAGGGATGGAAATAGTCTGCGTTATTGAAGGGTGTAAATACTGAGTAGTCGATATGTGTGGCCGGGTTGCTGCCATTTGTGATGTACGCCATGTTGTTGATTACCGTATCCATCATGAAGTACATGCCCCGGGAGTGGAGAGCGGCACTGAGGTCGAGCAAGTCTTGATGCGTCCCGAAATGAGAGTTGAGGGTGTTGAAGTTCAATGGCCAGTACCCATGGTAAGCTTCGCCATAGGAGACTTGGCCATGGATATTCTCGATGATGGGAGATATCATCACAGCGTCAAATCCCATCCCTTGGATGTAGTCCAGACGATCAATGGTTCCTCGCCATGTTCCTCCGCAATAAAGGCCCGCGGTGGTATTGCATGGTGCTGTTAATGATCCATCTGTGCGAGCGAAACGATCCGTCATGGTCTGATATATCGACCTGGGCTTCCAGTCGGCTGTCCTTGCGGCTGATGCCGAGGAAATAAGGCCCGTGATCAAGAGCCCTACCAGACGGCCAAGGGTCGATCGTGACATCATGGCAGCTCGTATTTGTGTGATGGGTCGACCGGAAGAGGCGAAAAAGAGAGTACTGGGCTTTCAGATAAAGAGTGTTTTGATTAACTCACGAGAGGGCAAAGATGGCCGGCAAGTGGAATAAATGAGTGACATTTGGACTTTATCCAGGAACAGGAAACGAAAGGAGGCAAAGAAAGCAGAAGTTGGTCCCTAGACAGGAAAAGATCGGGGAAAATGGCTAGTCAGGTGGCACGGCTTTTGCAAGGTTCTATTGTCCATCCATACATGTCTTGGGACCTTCCCCCCACAACCACGCGTTATATTATTATCCGGGCAGTTGCCTCGGGATATCTGCACCAATGGACCTGATTGCCATGCGACCTACCCGTTGATATGCCCCAGGATTCAGAAATAAAGGTATGATTCTAGTGGCTTTTTTTAAGAAGGACTAACTACCCCATGTACACATCAAGCGGGGGCTGCAGAAATCAATTTTAGTTTCATTATGGTGTACTTGTGGGAGGGGAAGAAGCGAAAGCGACTTAGCACACTAGTAACGACACTATTGGAACAAGGAGTACAGAGTACAGGAGCTGTCAGGTACCAGGCACCTTGCTGGAGGTTACTGTTGATTGGTCGTTATCACGTGGAGACACTGCCCTAATCTCAGGAACGGTCCCTATCTATCACAGGAGAAGTGACAAACTTTTGATGGTCCAATCATCCGAGACAAAGTGCAAGAGACTAGCGACGTTACTTTGAATTTCCACAAATCGGGTCCAAGCTATAGATAGTACTTTGGTACTTCGTATTGTATAGATTACCGCGTACATACGCTGTACGGAGTACCCCGTACCTTGAATTGATACACCAAACGCTTTGGCCCTGGCCCTGGGCAGTTGAATACGAGATATGCGATACAAAAGTTTGAATGAACACCTTGGCAAAATTTTACGATTCTATACGAATTTTAACTTGCACCAGACACCCAGATACTACAATGAATATATACCTCGAACAACGCAAGAAAGGAAAAAGGAATAAAGATGTGGGAAATGAACAGAGATAGGTGTAATCCGGTGTGATAGATAAGTGAACTCGGGTGGCTGTACGAGATTTGCTGCGCCATTCTCGGCTTCCCGGACTTCCGTCTGGAGTGGCGTTGATACCAGTATCACATCACGGTAAATACTCCGTACTGCAGGGATGTCTGACCTTGTGGAGATTAAGTCAGACATTTCTTTTGCTTGTTTTCTTGTACGGAGAATACTTCCAAGTTTTGACTTAAGGATTTCATGGAAGTTATCCGTCTTGGCATTATTCCTTGTTTACCATTGGTTGTTATTGTAAACCTTGGAAGAATATTTAGATTTGTACCATGGTTGAGCCCCCGGGGAACCGAAAAGAAGAAGAAAAAAACCCTTGAGAAAGGGGAAGAACGGAAAAAACGAAAAAAACGAAAAAGACGGAGAAAACGAAAAACCAAAAACAAGTGCCCGTACACTATCTGGTATAAGACCCCGGTCGTAAATGCACTAAGTGGGGGTGGGTCTTACCTCAACAACCAATCGGCCGGGTCGGGCTATCATGATCTCGGCCCCCTAACCCACGCGGGTCATGACCGAGAGGTATATCGGCATTTTGATAGGTTGATAATTGCGGGCCTAGAAAATCAACAGTCGGCAGACGTGAAAGTTGCCCACTACCTACTCCGTACAATGTCTCACTGTCTAAGCCTTATTTTTTAACTAACTGCCAGGGGGAGAGAACTGCATGCCAGGCGACATGAGTCTAAAAAACAATCACATGTCCCGCGATAAGGAGACAGCTTTTCTCTGCGCTAGTTGTAAAGATAGCGTCAGGGTCTGGCAAGTGGCGCATGGGTCAAATCTAATACTAGTACTCCGTATAGAGCGTTGATGGGAGTCGGGTAGCCCCGTCAGGCTCCAATTAATACTCTTTTAACCGAACTAGGTGTCCTATTCGGCTTTTGATGCCAAGGACAGGCGGGAAAGAAGAATAAAACAATCATAATTTATACCCAAAGGAGAAAAAGATTTAAAATTACAATTACAATTACATCCAATTAAACTGAAAAAGGCAAAAGAAATAAAAATTACCGAAGCTGAGACGTTGGAACCCAATATACTCCAATACAGTCTGGGGCTCTAAAATTGATATGGAGTTTGTCTCATCTGCTTTTATTTTTATCTTGAGCTTCAATGCGACTAGGCTTTTAGCTTAGCATTTAGCACTGCGCACTGCTGTTATGTGATCATTTCTTTTTCACTTCCACAATCGATTCTTCCTTCGTTTACATCCCTCATCCCTCGTCCATCGTCCATCGTCCCTCGTTCGCTCGTTCTCGTTCCCTCGTTCCTTCGTTCGCTCGTTTGCTAGTCCGCCTGTCGTTCTCTTCTTTGGCTTACTGCCACCTTTGACGCCTTCTGTTGGGAATTTGTGTCGTGACCTTCGAGATACATACCTACATCCCACTGCTCCATGGCAATTGAGAGCTGCACATCTTCATCTCTTTCATAGAGTGTCTCATCCTCTCATCCCAGCGGGGATATCCGCACTATCTGAGGCGCGCGACCATCACTCAACAGCTTCGCGCAGTCACCAGTCATGAAGTGGTTACTCACCAGCGGATTGGTCTCGCTTCTTGCGAAAACCGTCACAGCTTGGCCATACGACGAGGCCTACCTTGATTATAACCTCAATGAGAATAAGACGGCCACTAACCCAGCAGATTACTGGGGAACATGGCCTGGCCATGAGGGGAAATATCACCCCTCTCCGACAAATTGGCGCTTCCCGTTCTACTCTCTCTTCTTGGATCGCTTCGTGAATGGTGATCCTACCAATGACAACGCAAATGGTACCACGTTTGAGCATGATATCGAACAACGCATCCGCCATGGTGGCGATGTGGCTGGCCTCGTCGAAACATTGGATTATCTCCAAGGAATGGGGATCAAGGTTTGTCTCATCTGTGATCTTCTAGTGGCAAGAAAATATATGCTCACAATGTCCAGGGTCTCTATATTGCCGGAACCTCCTTGCTGAATCAGCCGTGGACTTCAGACGGATATGGAGTTTTGGATACAACGATTCTCGACGCGCATTATGGAACTATCCAGACTTGGAGAGACGCCATCACCGAAATACACAAGCGCGGGATGTATGTCTTGTTCGACAATACCATTGCGACGTAAGTTGTCCCCGTGTGCATAAATAAGAGACCAGTGCTAACTGAATATATCCAGAATGGGTGACTTGATTGGATTTGAAGGCCATCTAAACACATCTACTCCATTCTCGGAGAAGGAATATAGAACACAATGGAAGACTGAACGCCAATACAGAGACTTCACCATTGGAGCTGGCGACTACAATCAGACCTGTGACTACCCTCGATTCTGGTTCGAAGATGGATACCCCGTGAACGAATCAGAGACCTCAGGCTTGGTTGGATGTTACAACAGCGACTTCGACCAGTACGGCGATATTGAGGCTTTCGGTGTGTGGCCTGATTGGAAGCGACAACTGGCCAAGTTTGCCTCCGTCCAGGATCGTCTCCGCGAGTGGAACCCGACTGTGCGCGAAAGATTGATCCGGCACTCCTGCATGATCATCCAATCTTTAGATATTGATGGTTTCCGTTATGACAAGGGCACACAAGCTACCGTGGATGCTCTTGGAGACATGTCCGCTGCCTACCGAGAATGCGCGCGCGCAGTTGGAAAAGAGAACTTCTTTATCACTGGCGAAATCACGGGTGGAAACGACTTTGGTGCCATTTACCTCGGAAGGGGTAGGCAGCGTAACCAGTGGCCTGAGAGCTCTGCCGAAACAATAAAGTTGACAAATGAGTCCTCTGCCCAGTGGTTCTTACGCGAAGCCGGACATGAAGCCATCGATAGTGCAGCCTTCCACTATACGACATATCGTGCCCTGACTCGATTCCTTGGCATGGATGGGCAGCTTTCAGCCGGTTATGATGCGCCCGATGACTGGGTTTTGGGCTGGGACTGGATGGTGCAATCAAATGATTTGGTCAATGCTAACACCGGCAAGTTCGACCCTCGACACATGTTTGGTGTGACGAATCAAGACGTCTTCCGTTGGCCATCGATTGCCAATGGTACACATCGACAGTTACTCGGTTCTTTCGTGACTACATTGATGCTCCCCGGAATCCCACTTCTTCTTTGGGGTGAAGAGCAGAACTTCTATATCTTAGATGCCACTGCGGAGAATTACATTTATGGGCGACAGGCAATGTCGCCTGCAACCGCGTGGAGAACTCATGGCTGCTTTAACTTGCAGTCCTCGCAGTACTACAAGTGGCCTGTTTTGGCAGCTAAAAAGGGCTGTGAGGATGTGACAGTTGCCTACGACCACCGCGACCCTTCCCACCCTCTTCGAAATATCATGAAGCAGATGTATCACTTGCGTGAACAGTACCCAATTCTCAATGACGGGTTTTACATTGGGAATTTGTCAAAGAAAACCGACTATGTTTACTACCCTGGTTCAAATGGAACGGCCACGGAGACCGGAATGTGGTCCATTTACCGGGATATCAATACCAATGCGCAAAAATACGAACCCAAATATCAACCGGTCTGGCTTGTTTACCAAAACCTCAATGACACAAGGACATACACATTCGACTGCAACTCCGACAATGTGACTAAGACACTGACTGCTCCATTCGATTCTGGTACCACTGTCAAGAACCTTTTCTACCCGTACGACGAGATCAAACTGGTGGATGGAGTGCGCAAACTCGGCTTCAATGGATCCACGGAGTTGAATGGCTGTGCGGAAAGCTTGAAATTGAAGGCATACGAGTTCCGCGCATACGTTCCTATCGCTAAACATCAATTCCCTCGGCCCATGATCACCAAATTCACCCCCGGCCATGATTTCCCACTGCGTTCTACCGTGGCGCCCAACCTTCCAGAGGATGTAACGGTTGAGCTTTACTTCTCGGAAGAAATGAACTGTAACTCGGTGACCGAGGCAATTACCCTCGATTCATCTACAGAGACTGGGAAGGTTCCAACCCTAGATTCCAATACTGTGAAGTGCACAACTATCTCTCCCTTGCTCCAAACAAATTGGACTGCTGAGATCCCAAGCGTTTGGAAGTGGACAGCAAACCTCACTGGAGTGTACAACGGAATCCATAAATTGACTGTCACCAATGTTACCAACAAAGACACAAGCTCTTATACCTACGCTGTTGATCACTTCCTCTTCCGTGTCGGCCAGTTCGATAACCCTATGGTGTTCACTTCTGCCAACTACTCGAGCAGTCTACTCCACAAGAAAGACAACGGCGACCTCTTTATCCAGCATCATGCTGCTGGTGCAGACAAATACCGTTATTCAACTAATTGGGCATCGTCATTCTCCAACTGGAAAGAATATAAAGGCGGAAATGATACCATCGAGAGGCTCCCATGGTCGGGAACCAAGAAACAAGAATGGGATGGTGAGCATGTGCGTGTTGAGTACTGGAGTCGTTTGACTGGAAGTAGCGACTACGTGCAGCAAGGTGACGCTGACTGGGACCACCCAGTCACACGACGTTTCCCCCATGCCTTCTTCAATGGACCCTACAACCAGTATGGATTCGACGGGGGCCTTGACAACAGAATCACACTCGACACCAAAACCGGAGTCTGGTCCTACCATTTCACGTCCGAATGGCCTGCAGTCGGTCAGCTAAATATCTGGGGAATTAACCCAGACGGAAAGCCCGATCAAACCTGGGTTTTGGGTGATATCGACAATGACACAGTCCTAGACCGAAGCCCACCGTCTGCTCTGAGCGCGACTTTGATCAATATCACCGCCGCGCCAGCGAAAGGCTACCTCTCTCACAAAATCTACTTCGACGATGGAACTCTCCATTTCTGGCTCGATCCGGTTGGACCTCAGTCCACACAGATTGCCATGTTCGTGTTATTCTGGATCATACCATTCCTCACTGCCGTGGGATGTGTGTACATCTTCATGAAGTCTTTCTATAAGGTCAAATTCAACCAGGTCGGTGTGAGTGAGAAGCAAAACATTCCTCTCGCAATTTGGAACAAGATCAAGACGTCCAGTGGTCACAAGGATCAATCCTCAAACCCACTAATGCGCTTAGCCAACAAATCCGGCTTCATGCAAAGCACCACCGCTCTGGGCGGAGCTCTTGCTTCTGGCAAGCGACGCATGGTTCTAATCGCCACCATGGAGTACGACATTGAGGATTGGGCCATCAAAATCAAAATCGGTGGTCTTGGTGTTATGGCCCAACTAATGGGTAAGACCCTAGGTCACCAAGATCTCATCTGGGTCGTTCCTTGCGTTGGAGGTGTCGACTACCCTGTGGACCAGGAGGCAGAGCCTATGGAAGTCACCATTCTCGGCAGCCCCTACCAGGTCCAAGTCCAATACCACGTCTTGAATAATATCACCTACGTCCTGCTTGATGCTCCAGTGTTCCGTCAACAGTCAAAGTCCGAACCCTACCCTGCTCGTATGGATGATCTTGACAGTGCAGTGTACTATTCAGCATGGAACCAGTGTATCGCGGAAGCCATCAAGCGATTCCCGATTGATACCTACCATATTAACGACTACCACGGTTCTCTCGCACCTCTTTACTTGCTCCCAAGAACTATCCCTGTTTGTCTCTCCTTGCACAATGCTGAGTTCCAGGGTCTCTGGCCTATGCGAACTCTCAAGGAAAAAGAGGAGGTTTGCTCGGTCTTTAACCTTAACGAAGAGGTCGCTCGTCGTTACGTGCAATTTGGTGAAGTGTTCAACTTACTCCACGCTGGCGCAAGCTATCTTCGTGTTCACCAGTCAGGATTTGGTGCCGTCGGTGTTTCTAAGAAGTATGGTAAACGGTCCTATGCTCGCTATCCTATCTTCTGGGGGTTGCATAAGATCGGCAATCTGCCTAACCCTGATCCATCTGACGTCGGTGAGTGGACAAAGGAGCCAACCAAAGAGCAAGATATCACCGTTGATGCAACATACGAGGCTGGCCGTGGTGAGCTCAAGAGGCAGGCCCAGGAATGGGCAGGACTCGATCAGAATCCTGATGCCGATCTACTTGTCTTTGTCGGTCGCTGGTCTATGCAAAAAGGTGTTGATCTCATTGCGGACGCAATGCCCGCTGTTATCGAAGCCCGGCCTAACGTGCAGTTGATCTGTATTGGCCCCGTTATCGATCTCTACGGTAAATTCGCTGCTCTTAAGCTTGACCACATGATGAAAGTCTATCCCGGACGAGTCTTCTCAAAGCCTGAATTCACTGCACTTCCGCCATTCATCTTCTCTGGGGCTGAGTTCGCCTTGATCCCATCTCGTGACGAGCCCTTCGGTCTGGTTGCCGTCGAGTTTGGCCGAAAAGGTGCATTGGGTATCGGAGCTCGTGTCGGTGGTCTTGGCCAAATGCCAGGCTGGTGGTACAATGTGGAATCAATCTCAACGTCTCATCTCCTTATGCAATTCAAGCTTGCAATTGAGGCTGCCCTCAATTCCAAGACATCCGTCCGTGCAATGATGCGTGCGAGATCTGCAAAACAGCGTTTCCCTGTTGCTCAATGGGTTGAAGATCTTGAGATCCTGCAATCTACTGCTATCGCGGTCCACAACAAAGTGGCGAAGAGTAATAACAACAACAATCGACCTGGCACTTCTTCTGGAGTCAGCACTTTCAGTGGAGCCCTGTCACCTTCACCTTCTATGACTCAACTCGGAAGCCCACTTGCTTCACCCGGCATGAACTCTCCATACACGCATTCTAGGGACAGCAGCTATTCCTTCAACCAAATGAACAACCTTGCCCCTCAAAAGAAGGTCAGCTACAGCGCAGATACAAACCTGGACGACATGGAGAAACCAAAGTCGGGACTGAGTCGTTCTCTCTCCCTGGGTGTTCACTCAGGTCCTGGTCATGCTGGACGTCGCAGAGCAGCAAAAGAGGCTGGTATCTCAGAAAGCGATGAAAACGGAGCCACTGATGCCGAAGGCGAGGATAGCAGCGATGAAGACACTGCCCACACCGTGTTTGGCGATGACGAATACACTCTCACTCCAGCTCAAGTCGAGGCAGGACGACGAGCCCAGGCTGCTCAAAGAGACCGTCCTCAAAACTTGCCTTCTCCAAGCCAGGAGTCTTTACATCCCAGGTTCATGCTTCCTTTGGAAAGCCCGGGATCTCCGGGCACACCACCGAGCGCGGACAGCCTCCTTCTTCCACCCCAGCCATTTGGCCAGTCCAACCGTTTCAGCAGCGCATCCGTTCTCTCTCTGGACTCTGTTGTCGGCAACAAGACAGACTTCAAGCTACAGAAGGTTGATCCTTTCTTCACAGATAGCACTGGCGAGTACTACAGGACGTTTGATAAAAAGTTGGATGCCCTGAACGGATCTAACTCCGAGTCGCAACTTTGTATCGAAGAGTTCTTGGTCAAGAGCGAGCAACAGTGGTTCGACAGGTTCCGCAATGCCAGACTGGGTCGTACCAAATCTCCCACACCATCGATTCGGCATTCATCAAGGAACACTGACACCCCAGACAATATGTTCTACAGTGACGATCTCGTCTCCAACGTCAATAGCAACGAAGAAAATCATCTCCAGGATGATGAGTTCCTTCTCGGAAAGGACTATGTCCCTCCCAGTGGACTTAAGAAATGGATGCAGATCAAAATTGGAGACTGGCCGGTCTACTCCATTTTCCTCGCTCTGGGCCAGATCATCGCCGCAAACTCATACCAGATTACTCTACTCACCGGTGAAGTTGGCCAGACCGCGGATAAGTTGTATGGAATTGCAACGACATATGCCATTGCATCCATGTGCTGGTGGCTCGTGTACCGCTACTTCAAGTCTGTCGTTTGTCTTTCTACTCCGTGGTTCCTATATGCTTTTGCATTCCTCCTGATTGGATCTGCTCACTGGCAAGATGATTCCTTCAGTCGGGGATGGATCCAGAATGTCGGTACCGGTTTCTACGCCGCGGCCTCCGCTAGTGGATCTATTTTCTTCGCTTCAAACTTTGGTGATGAGGGAGGTGCTCCAGTTGAAACCTGGATTTTCCGCGCCTGTGTCATTCAAGGTATCCAGCAGGCATACGTTATTGCCCTCTGGTACTGGGGTTCGACCATGACCAAGGCTTCTTCAGAGGGTCTCTTGAGCCCTGAGTCAGGCATTGCCAATAGCTGGAAAATGAGGTGAATAGCCCCGCACACTGATCTCCTTCCCTATTTTACTAACATTACTCCAGTGCGATTTGTTATCCCATCACTGTCTTCCTGTGTTTCGTAGGCATTCTGTTGGCATTGGGACTTCCCAACTACTACCGACAGAAGCCAGGCAAGGTGCCGTCCTTCTACAAGTCCCTTTTCCGGAGAAAGATCGTCGCTTGGAACTTCGTCGCGGTCATCCTGCAGAACTTCTTCCTGAGCGCACCATACGGTCGAAACTGGAGTTGTAAGTTCAATCTTCCCAATCGAACTCTGGCACACCGATCAGTACTAACATTCCCCTCTCCCAGTCCTATGGGGTTCCTCGCACGCCCACGCATGGCAGATCGTCATCCTCTGCATCGTCTTCTTTGGCGTTATCTGGTGTATATTCCTCTTCGTCGTTAGCAAATTCTCCAAACGACACAGTTGGTTCCTTCCCGTTTTCGCCTGCGGCCTGGGCGCACCCCGCTTCATCCAAATCTGGTGGGCCATCTCGGGCATCGGGTACTATCTCCCCTGGGCTGGGAGTTATACTTCCGGCGCGCTGGTCTCTCGCAGTCTCTGGCTATGGCTCGGCGTGTTGGATTCTATCCAAGGTCTTGGATTCGGTATCATCCTCCTACAGACTCTCACTCGAGTCCACATGTGTTTCGCTCTCATTGCATCTCAGGTGCTGGGTTCCATTGCGACTATCTGCGCCCGAGCTTTCGGTCCGAACAGCGTAGGCCCCGGTCCAATTTCTCCTGACATGACCAAGGGCGCCCATTCCTTGGCTAATGGCTGGTTTTGGGTTGCTTTGTTCTGTCAGTTGTTGATCTGGTATGTTGCTCCTTGCTTGTTTCGTTCATCTGAATTATTTCTAACATTTATCTGCAGTGCTGGGTTCTTGCTGTTCTTCCGTAAGGAACAACTCGCCAAACCATAAGCTCCCTTTATTTTTTTGGAGCATTTTTGTTTCTTGTCATACACCGGCTACGCCCATCACGACGAACATGAATGATCAAATTAATCTCTTCTGCATAATTGAAGCATGTTGTCCCCTTGTGATCTATTTTCTTTTTCTTTTTAGATATCTTAATGTTAATATTATTGTACTGAGTTCATACTCGGTTAGAATACATCAAGTCCTCGTAGTGAAATGAAGTAGAATCGTATATAGGGGTCTAACAATGCTGCTTTGCGAAGGTGTATAGCGGCCAGTGGCCGAATGCCTGATTTTGTGGGATTGATGCCTTAATTTGTCTAATTTGTGCCTGATTTTAGACTGGTAGAAATTAAAATACCTGAATTACCATGACAGAGAGCGTGTAAAATGAAGCTATTCCCACTATATAAATCTCAATATTTGTCTAAGTCTAGGTGGTTTGAAGATATTCCGACCCTAAGAATCTGAAGCTATTCATACTATATAAATCTCTATCTCCCTCTAATTCGAGTGTCGATACTCTTCCTCTAACTATATTCTCTATCTTCCTCTGGTTCCTAGTATTTATACTCTCTGTATCCTCCTCCGCTAGCTCCGGTATAGCGAAGTATCCTGAGACTAAGCCTACGCTCGCTTCTGCGCCCTTCCTACTGGTTTAACTGCTGTGGGAGGAGGCGATTTAACTGATATAGGAGGAGTAGGATGTCTAGTAACAATTCGGCAGTCCGGCCATATATCAATTATACCTTTATATCGCGTAATAACCATATGAAGCCTTGGGATTTGCTTAGGTACCAAAGGCGTTACATTTATTTTATTAAAGGGCTCTGCCACAGTAATTCATAGAAGTATCATATAGCTGAAATTATTCGAAGGTTGTACTTTTTACAGTGGTAAGACCATAATAAATGGCATACGTACTGAAAATGGAGTGCCAAGAGTTACTCTGCCTAATTAGGTTAGAGAGCTGCGGAGCAGTATTCAATTGTGTTTACAAAACACAGTATAGGCGGTGTCGAAGGCGGTCTAGAATCAAGCATAAACACCGCAAAATCAGGCGTTCGGCACCTTCGCACTGCTTTTTCTTTATCCTAGTCAATGACATGAATTCTCTCAAAGAGCACAAGACCATCCAAGACTCAAATTGCTCGACTGAACCAGTGCTTGTTTTCTTGGGCTTCCCTAACTAATTCGGTAGTTTGTTGAAACTTTAGATGCGTCTTTGTATAGTTCAATTTGGAAATAAGCAACGCAGTCTCTTTACTATTTCGTCAGCACAATGCTATTTTCTCCCGAATTACAGGCTCAACCCCCCTTTCCAAAGTCCGAGAAAGCTCTTCCAATGAGCATTATTGTTAGCCGATTCCTGCCATACTGGACCATAAGAGTTGTCGACCCGAGATGTCAGTTCCATCACCAATCAGCGGTATACTTACCCGACCTCACATTCCCCACTAAGACCAGACTCGCATCTTGACTCTTAGACGCAGATCAATGAAATTAGTGGATAGTTCGGGGCCAATCAACTCCAACCCCAGATCCGGGGTCAGAGAAGAGTGCGGGGTTGAGGGCTGTTCAGCTCCCGTGACCAGTCCTGATATTGGTATTAATATCGTAGACCTTATGGGGGACTGAGCCCGTTGTATTCATTCAAAACTTATCCTGGAATCAATAAGCTTGTTGATCCGAACGCATTGAATTCATGATGTCCAAAACTCGAGACACAGAGAAGGACATTGATGGAGGTTGTATCCATTTGGAGTATTCAGATGATGGAACTGCACATCCAACCAAGGAGGAATATGCACGGTAAACCAACTTCCCAGTTTATCGGCGAATATGTTGCTGAAACCTCAAAGAGTATATAGGAAAATCGACAGGCGGATCCTACCGTTTGTGGCGCTGACCTATCTGTTATGCTACCTCGATCGGACTAATATCGGTGAGAAGGCGAATGCTTCCATTGGAATCGTTCAATAGTACTCTTACTTATGACTATACAAAGGAAATGCACGAGTCTTGAACAGTGGCACCGGCGACGATCTGATGACCTCTATTGACATGAACGACCACGAATATCGCATTGCCCTTATGCTATTTTTGGTGGCTTATTCTCTATTTGAGACACCAAGCAACTTAGCAATGAAAAAACTCACTCCTCCAGTGTGAGACTTCGCACCCTGACGGTCAGATGGGTATATTGTTTGCTTTACTGACACTCATGACTAGCTGGCTGGCATTTCTTGTCATTTGTTTCGGCGCCCTGTGTGCAGGAATTGGAGGGTCAAAAAATGCCTTAACACTCATGGCTCTCCGATTTCTCTTAGGTGCATCCGAGGCTGGTGTTTACCCGGGAATGATCTTTTTTCTCAGCTTCTGGTACGGACCGCGTGAACGAGCCATCCGAATCGCTGTCTTTCTTTGCAGTGCCACGCTAGCAGGTGCTTTCGGGGGTATGATCATTCCGAACGCGATTTGTCAATTTATGGGTGCTAAAACTTATTTTTATAGGTGCTATTGCCTACGGAGTAGCTCATATGAATGGTGCCGGGGGCTTACAAGCATGGCGGTGGCTTTTTATTATCGAAGGTTTACCATGTCTCGTCCTAGCAGTTGCTATTTTCTTTTTCCTGCCAAGCTACCCGGAAAAGGCCAAATGGCTCACTGCGGAAGATAAGGCCATCCTCAAAGCATCCTTTGGCAATAATGTGGCTCGAGGGTACATCATAAATCTACCCGCAACAATAACTACCGAAGCTAATCTGATTCTTTCTACAGTGAGGACAAGCTCAACTGGGCTGATGCAAAGGCGACTCTTAAGGATCTTCGCCTCTGGGTTCACTATGTCCTTTATCTTTTTGTCGGAATAGGTGTTTCGTCCCTCTCATTATTCGCTCCGGCAATCGTTCAGGGAATTGGATACACTGGACTCCAGGCGCAGCTCTTCACCATTCCACCTTATGCATGTGCATATGTTGTGGCTCTCACAGCGGCATATATATCCGATAGAGTTGTATGCCGAGGGTTGATTGCTGCCCTATTCGGGTTTACAGGATTTGTTACGTTTCTCATTCCCGGTGAGTTGTACTCCCATTCTCATACTGGTCATTGGTTTCTGATTCTCAATATAGCCTGCGTCCCGAGCCCATCACTTCATCTTCGTTACGGTATGCTTGTGCTTAGTGCATGCTCTGCTTTCGGGTCGCTACCCCCACTGTGTGCGTGGGTTTCGGACAATGTCCACAGCACTACTGCGGCGTCGGTAGCAAGCGGGTTGAATATTGCATTTACTGGACCAGGCCAAATTATAGGGGTGTGGATCTACCAGAGTCAGCAGGCTCCTCAGTACCAGACGGGCCATGCTGTCAATGCCGCCAGTCAGTTCATGGCAATGGTGTTGGCATTGGGCCTATGGATCTATTACCGACGACAGAATGCAAAGCTTGCTCCGGGTGAGCAGAAGTGGGTTGCATAAGATGAAATTGAATGACTGCCAGTCCAAGAGGATTACGTACTGATGTCGGAAGATGTTCTATTCGACAGCAGATCACTATAAGAGATCATCACGCTCGAAGAGCAACATGGACATGAGCAAGTAAACAAGATTATATATGGAGAAAATGGATATCCCAAATTGTGATCGGTAGTTCAGCTGTTGTGTCAGAAAAAGAGAGCGGATTGTTCTTCTATTGGGCTTGCTATTCTAATGTCGATATATATCTCAATTGAAGAATGTTCATTTTTACTACAGAGTAATAAAAATAGATCAGTGGTAACCAGTGCCATTCTCAAACGAACAAAACAAAAAAGGAGTCAGACTATCGAGGCTTTACCGTAATAAATCGAGCGTTTACCTTGTTGATAGTTTTCGAAAGTCAAATTCTTATAAGACATCGTTCTGTGTAGCTATATAGACAGTGCTCGGGCAAATTTCGCGGACATATTAGATTATCTACGTGTGTAAAGCGAGACAAGTTTTCAATATGCAAGTAAAACATAGTTAGATATCTAAGGCTATCGAATGAGTATCAAACATCAAAATTTTCCAGGGAGTCTCATTGCACCATCAAGTCTCAGACAGCATCCATTAAGCATCCGGTTCCTAAATATCTCCAAAACAGACCCGCCGAACTCTTCCGGTTTCCCCGCTCGCTTTGGCCATTCAAAGTGGGCCTCGATAGCCTTTCGTGCTCTTTCCGGCATCTTTCCTTGAGCGGTCATCGGAGTAGAGAACATGTTTGGCGCAATAGATACAGCTCGGATGCCGTATCGGGATAGGTCCCTCGCCAGTGGCAATGTCAGAGACCGGATGGCTCCCTTGGTAGCCGCGTAAGCCACCTGGCCTTGCTGCCCATCGTACGCTGCAGCCGAAGATACCATAACAATCACACCTCTTTCGGACTCATCGTCGGGATCGATCGACTCGGGTAGTTGAGCCATGTGAGGAACGACTTGTCGGATGAGGTCGAGAGACCCGACAAGGTTCACGTTGATGGCTTGTTGTAACTTCGCAAGTGCCAGAGGCTCGAAGGAGGAATTCATAATCTACATCACTTTAACACCGGAATCCTAAATCCGTGTATGGAATCTTTGACCACGCACTTTTCCTGGAGCTAGGATGCCCGCACAACAAACTACCCCACCAATCGGAGCTTTCGTATTCTGACTCCACTCAACGGCAAGCAAAATAAAATTATAATTAAATTGTTTTTTCACTCACTCCCTTGGTGATGTCTGTAGTGCATGATATGTCGACCGGGTAGAACCTCACTAGCTCGGATGGAAGTTCTTCTTCTGCGGCGTCAATAGGTTCAGCCAGGTCAAACAAAGCAACGCGCGCGCCACTATGAGCCAAAGCCTGTGCTGTCGCCCGGCCTAAGCCTGAAGATCTATATTCAAAGTATGTCAGCTGGGTGGTTCTGACGGGTAAATCTGGTGTCCTACCCCCCGGTGACAATGAAGGTCCTATTTTCAAGTTGCATTTTGCTCGAATGCTCTTTTTGAATGTGTAGTAGGCCTACGGTAGTTGCATTTAAATCCACTTTTATAAGTACTTTCTGGTATCTACCCGGGGACCTCTGCCTGGAATAAAATATCACGCCAAGAGGGGATCTCGGGTGTCGGGTAATTCTTTCGGAAAGTAGAGACTTTCGCTCTCGAATGGAAAATAGAGATGGGGAATGAGCTTGTAGTCGTAATAGCTAAATAATGGGGAACATAAAGCCGAACAGGTCGAGGGAAATATAACGCACGTCGACCCGAGCATTCTTTGCTCTTTGTTGGTCTGTTACTTCTTGTAGTAGGCGCGCAGCTTTACCAGCATGAATGCTCGCATGCTCGCCCCCTGGTCCATAGTCGGATTTCACCAGACTCAATTGGCGAAGCTTAGCAATACACCACGCAACTTTGACAGAGTCGGCGCATTCGGTCGCGAATGTGAAGAGAGCCCACATTGCTGTGCTGTTGAGAGGCGACTCATCCCAATCATCAATGTCAGATACGAAGTTTTCAGAAATCACAATTGGCTGGTCGACACTTCCACGAAGTGCTGCCCATGTATTATCGGCAGCCGACCTTTCATCTCCTTGTGCTAGATGGTCCCACCATGCAGCCCTGTATAAATAACAAAAATTAGACCAAAAGCATGCCCGAATCACGCAGAGTAGTCGGGAAATATCTTTCGCAAGATGTAGTTGTAATGAGTCTTTGAGTTGCTCGAAATCGGAGTTCAAAATTACAGGGCGGCTTTTCCAAAGCTGGTGAAGATCGTTGATAATCTGACTGGCGCTGGCAGTGACTTCCACTTCATCTTCGATGGACCCACGTGGCCGACGGTGGCGATCCAACATAGCAATTTTGCGAAGGAACTGCTGTGACAGACGATGGAACGTTACGGCATCACGAAGAATGCTTTCCTTTAATGTCGGTAGTGGGCTATTGGAAGGGCACGACGTCAACGGGTCTCGCCGCCTTATCTCTGGTCGTAACCGGTCGGGCGGTGGGGATAAAAGGTCCATTCCCCTTGAACTTTGCTGCAATGGTGACTCCGCATCCGCGACTGGGTGTATCGACGGGTTTGGAGGGCCGCTTATGAAAGGTGATACTGAGGTTGGCCGACGTGTCAAAATGCCGTTTCCTCCGAAGATGACAAGTTTCATATCGCAAAGAACTAGCCAATTCAATATTTGCTGTGTTAACAAATCGGCCTCATCTAAATCTTGTATAGGACAATCTGCCCATTTTATTTGATGAGCTCGATGAATATCCTCCTTGTCGATAAGCTACTCCATTTGGGTCAGCCAATGCTCGTCACCGACGACAGATGACTAACCTCGAAGCAAGTGAGAAGAAAAAGTCCAATTAGCAGCTCTCGGCGAAGAGACGCAGACGGCTTCACCTTTAGCTGCTCGAGCCCCTCGATAAGCGACTCTCTGGCAAATATATACAGATAATGAGAGAGGTTTTCGCCGTTTCGTAGAGCATGTGGACCTTTGTTGTGTTCTGTAGTTGAGAAAAACTTGTTAAAGTGGAGCTGGGAGAGCGCCACGATTGCGTTTGGAATAGTAGAGCTGCCACGGGCCATAGCCAGAATCTGACAACAGAGATCGTGCCATGAGGTAGTATCCACACTTGATACAGCAGGAACAAACACATGCTCTTGGAAGTATCTTCCCAATGCATCGGAACGACGAGTGATGCTTTTATCCGCTCCAGGGTCGGTAGTTGAACGCGCCGCAAAGAAGATATTCGTGGCCATCCGGTTGAAATTTGGAACTATATCTCGCAAAAGATTGGCATCTTTGCTAGACGAGTTGGACGTGGGGGCGGATTGGTGGGCATTGCTTGCTCCTGAAGAGCCTCAGTTACCGAAGGCTCGGTTTCTTTGGGGAGATGGTAGCGAACATTCTCTTTGGTGTGCTTAATTTGCATATTAGCGGAGGAGTCAGCGATAGAATCTTTACCGGGCCTCATACAGGCACGTCATAGGTTGGATTTGTAACGAAAGGGGCAGCGCCATCATGACGGTCATGCTCCAATGTGATGGCGTCCTCCAACGTCGGAATTGCCAGGCCTTGTGGCTCCGGTAGCAAGGTCGATGGGGAACACCATAAATCCAGAGCATTCCGAGAGAAGGCGTCAAAGTCAAAGAATAAAGCAGTTTCTGGGTAAAAGGCAGGGTTGAGGCTCGAGTCAAGATCCATCAACTCGTCAACGTCTCGGTGATTGGTGGAAGTCGGTGACTGATCCACATTCTGCTGACTGGGATGTGTACCGGGGCTGGTTGGTCTCTCTGTCTGCCAACGCTTCGATGGAACCCGCCGATATATACATTCAGCTCCTAGTCGGGTACAGTTGGCGCATATCGGGGTTCCTTCATCGCATCTCACCTTGCGCCTCTTGCAGGTGGTACAGCCGGCTCGTGATCGAGGCCCCGATCGACCCAGGCGTCTTTCTGGTCGGAAGTCGGTAGATGCAGTTGCAGGGGACATTTCAGATTGTGAATGAGAAATACCCGAAAGAATCAGTTTCTCTTATATGAAAGACATGAGCATTGCCGAGGTCTTCGCCCCCACGTCCTTTGATGCTCATCAGAGCCAAAACGCGGGGTTAATGAGCGTCACCTGATCTGCCGTTTGCTTACTCTAATCAAAACACTTGGTCTACAACTATGTTGTACACAGTGTTCTGACGAAAAGAAATTATCAAATTATCTCACAATCTAACTTCACGTGTATTTCCCAGAGCTTCGAATGTGTCGGCAGCCCAGTTACTGAATGCCTTTCGAGATTTCACAGCCTCGATATCCTGCTTGTTTACTCCCCTTGCTTCCAGAGCTGGGTTATATCCGAGACGTCGTCGTCCGTCAACCTGATCCTGGATTTCAGACGGCAAGGGTGCAACTTTGTCGTCGGCACGACCTAAAACAGTGACAACTGTAGCACCCCCGAGGCCCATATTGTGCTGCAGGCAGTATTTGGTCTGCGGTACACAACGGGTTGATGCCCAGCCACGTAAATGCCATACTAAATCTACATTAGCATAATCCCCTATATAAAGGGGTTGAATTGAGTGTACCTAACTCGGCCGTTTGAGCAAGGCCTGTCGCTCCCAGCGTATGACCCTTAGAAATCAATCCGCCACTGGGATTGATGATCCATCCTGGAGACGTTCTATTCGTTTTAGAACTTTGATCATACGTGATGCCTCCATCGGCGACCAGCTTCCACCCTTCGCCGTGTGGAGCTAGGCCCAAGTCTTCGATCGCACACATCTCGTTTGTCGTAAAGCAGTCATGCAGCTCAATCACTTGGATGTCTTTGGGTGATAGTGAAGCCTGCTTGAAGGCATTCTGGGCAGCACGTCTTGTCATTATTGGACCCAATCAGCTCGATGGCGCTCGCGGGCTCATACAAATCCCGAGAGTCAGTTGCAAGGGCTTGGCCCCTAATGGCAATTGCGCTTTCCTTCAGGTAGGGATGAGCTTGCAGGAAACGCTCCGACACTAGGACCGTGGCGGCAGCTCCGGTCTATCATATTAGTACACACATGGTGTATGCAGGCGAGGCTTAATAAGAACATGTACTTACCGAGGATGGGCAGCATTGCAGCCGAGTAATCGATCCCGACACCTGTGGACTCGATGAAACTTCCTCGGTCGTCACAGACTGACGCAGCTGACTGTAGGGGTTGTTCATGCCATGCGTACGGTTAGTGGAGGCAATAGCGGCGAAATGCTCTGCTTTTGCTCCGTTCGATCCGTATTTTTCCAGGTACTCAGCTTGGGCGTTGGCATATAGCTGAGGTGTCCAGCCAGCTGATTCTGCTTGACCCTTGGGAATAAAACGCTTTGAAAGAGCCAGAATTCTTCCCAGAGGATTCTCCCTATCCTTATAAATCTGTGGAAGAGCACCAGGATACATTTTGTCAAATCCCACCACAAGGACACAATCAGCACTGCCGGCCTGAATAAACTGATTGGCCATATACAGGCCCGTACTCCCCGCGCTGCAGTAGTTATGAACATTGTAAATGGGAACTCCAGTCATCCCCAGGGTGTAGAAAACACGCTGTGCGCCAGCAGAGTCACCAAACACATAACACCCAACTCCCTGATCAACATCATCATAGTTGATTCCGGCATCGAGTAAAGCTTTCACACATGCGGATACGGCGAGGTTGAAATAATCTCCCTCGGGATTGGAGGAGGTTGCGGCTGACTTTTTGGGAGACTGAAATGGGGTCATCCCCACACCGACGATGTATACTGGGGAGGCAGTCATATTGATTGATGTACAGAAAAATGAGAAGGAGTGCACAAATTATATCGCAATATGTAGATTAGCGAGCTTCTCCTAGACCCTTTTAAACACGCGAAGTGTACCATGTAATAGTTCCCGAAGAGGTTCATAAGTCCGACAAACGATAGCAACAACTCATTGCTTGCCTCCATGTCGGAATGATATTGGAACCGAGCATTGTCGTCACCATCTTCAGTCCTCGAAGATGAGGGTGCTCGGGTATCGGATAAATCTCTTGGCGCTCCAGCATTCTGCTCGGGTATAGCATCCAACAGCAACCTAACAGAAAGCTTCCTCATGAATATTTCCAAGTGCGTAGCATCTAGCCGAGATCATTTGTGGAATTATTCAGTCACCTCGCTCTGATACACTGGCAAGTAGTGTAGTCATTCGTAGCAAGTAATTTATAGTAGGTCGCAGTCGTGTAAACAACACAGAAGACAGTATTGGGGCTTCTATAAAGACTCATTCACTGGGGGTAGTAGAACACTGGAATATATTTCATCGATTCCGTCATTTTGGCTTAGTGATCGCTTTTCAACGGCATACTCGGGTGAAGAGAAGACGAATATACACCGATTCTCCACCGCGATAGGATAATGTAAGCAATGGATAAAGTACATATTCTAGCCTAAAAACCCTCCAATTCAGTTGATTCAATCCTTCAATCGTGTAAAAATGCTCTCGAATCAGCCTTCTATTGTCTATGGCCCGTCGGCTCCGATCCCTGTGTCAATGACATTTGGGGACCTTCTATCCTACCATGCACAACACAGGCCAGATAACCATGCAATTATTTCGCATCATCAGAATATCCACTTGACCTATAGTCAGCTCGAAGAGCGTAGCACGTCGCTAGCAAAGGCATTCTCCAGCTATAACGTTAGCCGGGGTGATACTGTGGCCATCATGTTGGGCAGTCGCACGGAATACATCGAAGTAAGTACTCCATGAATAAATAGTACCTGAAGTTTACTGACTATCTAGACATTTTTTGCGTGTGCGAAATTAGGTGCATCGCTTGTCCTTCTTAATTTCGCCTTTGTTTTAGAGGAGATCGTTGATACCTTGACTCCAATTGGTAATGTATAATTTCTCATTCTACTAATTGCCGTAGCTGATGCGGTTCTCAATAGCCCCGAAGCTTCTCGTTATGACACCCAGCTTTGGGAAATTCCAATACGAGAACATTCTATTAAAGCTTTCAGAAATGCTTCCTTCTTTGCAAGCTGTGGTCCTTGTGGATCCGTACAAACTGAAGGCTCAAAGCCTAGGAGATAAGATGGTCTCCTATGAAGTCTTACTCAAGCAAAATTTTGCCACAAGCTTGCCTGGTAATGTTTCGCCTCATGACATTGTCAACATACAATTCACGTCTGGCAGCACTGGGACTCCCAAAGCAGCTGCACTTAGCCACTACAACATTATGAACTGTGGCAAGAATATCAGTGCCCAGATGAGTATAAGCGATAAGGACCGAGTCTGTCTTCCTGTACCTTTGTTCCACAGTTTTGGACTTATCATTGGTATGCTGCTCATCCTCTGTGAGGGTTCTGATAACGCTAAAATTGCGTGAAGGTATTTGCACCAGCACGTGGAGTGGATCAACCATTGTATTCCCTTCGGAAACATTCGACGCCGATGCGGTGTTGAAATGCATTGAGGGATATAGATGCACTGGCATTTATGGCGTCACCACAATGTTCATCGAGGAGATGAAGAACGCGAAATTTGCTTGCACCGATCGCTCATCTTTGAAGTTAGACTTCTGTCCCAGTAATGCTCGTCGATCTTTTGAAACTGACTCGTACTAGATTTGGAATCATGGCAGGATCAGCAATGCCACAGGATTTGTTGGAAAATGTTGCAACCTCCTTCCCAGTTCCTCGCCTCTACACAAATTGGGGATGACGGAACTTTCGTCCATTACCACTATGACACACCACAGCGATCCAACCCCCAACCGTCTTCACACAGCCGGTCGCCTTTTCCCGAACTTCATTGGGAAAATCGTGGAGCCTAACACAGGCCGAGTTCTGCCGTGGGGACAGAAGGGAGAGATTGTGATCTCTGGATATGGAGTCATGGGTGGAGGGTATCTTCGAAATCCATCCAAGACCGCAGAAGCGATGAGACAACACGTGGAAGACTTGGAGCCCCATGGAGTCGGACCTGTGGACAGCGAGGGAAATCTTAGAACGTGGATGCACACAGGAGATGAAGGGTATTTTGACAAAGATGGATATTTTGTGATCACTGGACGCATCAAAGACATCATCATTCGCGGAGGAGAGAACATTTCCCCGGTAGAAATCGAAGCACGACTTTCCTCCCACGGGGCGATTGTCCAGGCTTCTGTTGTTGGTGTTCCGAATGCTCGACTTGGAGAAGAAATAGCTGCGTTCGTTGAACTAACCAACGGCCATGCTAAACCTACCGATGAAGAGCTCCAGAAATGGGTGCGAGCAAGTCTCAGTCGCTTCAAAACACCAAGGCACTTTTGGTGGATAGGTAGTTCCCAGCATGGCGTTCCTCGAGAATGGCCGAAGACTGCATCTGGAAAGCTTAGAAAACCGGACTTACGGGAAGTCGCAAAGGGTGAGTCGAATTTGTTTCCCTCCGATTTTCCCTAGACAATTACACTGACGGTATCGGGTATGACAGAGTTGTTGAAGGAGGAGGTGCCGGAAAGAGCTCGACTTTAGAGAGTCGGGTCTAATTTTTCCTGTTTCTCCTCTTGAATTTTTCCATGTCTACCGTGACTCGATCATGCGTCTTCAATATCAAGAGCCCAAAGTGCATGTCACAGCCACTCAACCGCCACCACAACGCAAATCTTCTGCATGAAGATCCGCCCCACGGGTGTGGATCGCGATCGTCAACTTTAAAGCTTCTTTGTTGTGCCACATATTGGCGGATTTGGCTTTGGGGGAATAATATTCGTGGGAAAGGCGTCACATTAAGTTGATCGATGAGCCCGGGTAGGAGGGACAGGAGAGATGGCCTCGGCTGGAGGACAAGCTGTTGTGATGGCCTCAGGCCTCAAGCCCTCCACAGTTAACTACCATCTCCTTGTGGTCATACAAGCCTAGCAGGACTTAGCAATATACAAACCACCATTGAGAATCAAAAATAAGACTGTATCCCTGTAGAAAAATTAACATTATTTTATTATAATTAGGAGAAAAGTTAAAAAGGCAAGCTGTGAGTCTGATTGCCAGTCACATCAAGTCTATATAAATCCCACACCAAGAAACATGGTCTTCCATCATCTGGAAGCTCTGTCACCAGTGGTAGGTATCGGCTTTGCCAGCCGCAGACACCAACACAGTGCATATTCGAGCGGAAGTAGCAAGATAAGAATTTTGTTGAAGCGGTAGGACAGGGTAACCGTAAAAATCGCCACCACAGCATCGAGCCAGTAGTGATTTGCGGTAGCGACGATAACACTGAGGACCAGAATCGGGTACAATATAGCGAGTGCCAAAAAGCCAAACTCCGTCATGTAGGACTTCTGCGTTGGCCTGCGCTGGAGTCTTTGCAGAAATCCGGAGTGGTGAAGAAAGGTGCACCCGATCACAAAGGCATAGGTAAAGTGCAGGCTGGGCATGGCCGCGAATTGGTTCACGGACTTTCCGCCAACCCAGATGCTTTCGGCATTGCCTTGGCGCACGGTGTCGTAGAAGCCATACGAGTCTGGAAGGAGTCGTGGCGGCATGAGTGGGTAGACGCAGAATACCAAGAAAGCGGCGAGATTTCCAAGTGTCATTGTCCGCCGTGCGGTGGCGAAAGACGCATGGTTCTTGGCAACATAATAGTACCAGGAGAGGAATCTGTTCATTTGGTTAACCGATTATTCAAATTGGAACTATATCAAGTCAAGGGTTACTCACAGCACTGTGCCGGGAATATGTATTAATGAATAAATGCGATTAAAGATTGTCAAGATCGAGGGATGATTTTGAATAAAAAAAGATTGGAAATCGGCTTCGTTGATTGGAAATATCCAAGACGCGGTTGTATGTTCAAAGTTGAGAATGTCGATGGCGTGGCCCCGCGCAACCTCGACAACACCTATCTCGGCGGGAGAAAGCCACTGCGCCGTAGCTTTCGTCACAGAATAGAATAGATAGTTCATACTCCAGTAGAACATCTCAACCAAGAAAGGAAGTTTCTGTAGGATTCTACTGTGAATGTGGTGCGCCCAGCGAGAAGAGTCTCCGGTCTTGACATTGATCCCACATACAGTTTCTGATTTGGGTTGCAGATTGTCGATGGAATAAGCATCGCCCTCCTCCAGAATGGCGTAGCTTCCTAGGTATTGAGATTCATTGGAACTCTTACTGGAATCCCTGCGACGATTCACAATCAATGACCCAACCATAATACTAACAACGACCTGTTCACCACATTAATAGGTCTTTAGCGATACACGCAGTATCAAACTTACAATAGGTTCAAGCCATGCGTGTGACGCTAATTGTGGCTTACCCAGATCGGGTGTATCCTGAGTAAAATTGGTGCTGGGCACCATACTTGCAATGATAGAAGCTTTTCAGAAATATATAAGGTAAAGCCTCCAAAGGCGCTGGAGAATAGAACAAAATTGAAGCAGATCAAGATTCAAAAAGAGGAAAAGGGAGTCAAGACAGGCTAAATGGATGCTGTCGTGTGCCCTCTAACCACGTTATTCCAATTATGCATAATACAGACAATACAATAATGATATACGAGTACGAACTTCGGATGGCGGAATGAATACGGGACCGAATCCCGAGGCGGGACATAGCAAGGAGATTATATTGGTATTTGCCCTCCCTTAACAGGCCGAGCTCGTTAACCGGCATAAATGCGTTCATTTACAGTTTGTATTTCCATAATTATCTCTCTATAGAACACATTTAGCAGAAACTCAGTCCATTTCTTGGAGAGAAAAAAACCAGAAAATAAAAGCTCTTTTACTGCCAATGACAATTCCAACGCCATGGCTTGGATGGAGTCGTAAGAGAGGCGTTCAGCTAGTCCCGAATAGAACAGACAAGAGTCCCGATTGGCTTCTTCACATTACGTACGTACGTAGGTATGCCTCCTTGATCCAAAGCGGGAACATATCGACCTATCACGACATCTTATCCCGCTCTATCCAATGATTGTACTCGCACTCACCTGATTACCAGGATATTGTAGGTCCAGCTTTAGATATGAGACACGGACAAACCACTGTCCGAAGTCGAAGCCAATTAGTACATACTGTACAGAAAGGTCTGGACGCATATCTGTAAGGCTGTAAACCTTATCGATCTTGGAATGTGCTTTGTTTGCATTCTAACTCAAATTCTGAGCTTGAAGGGAATCTGTAATTCCAATACTACACTGATTATTTCCATCCTGGGGCAGCCCCGGAGCCATACTTTGGAATGTGTGTTTCTAACAATAACTGCCACTTGGAAACTCGACTGATGAGAGGAAAGGCAATGTAAGACTGACAGAGATTTATGAATACATAAGATCATGCCAGTCCCCATGTGGAGTAAATCGAAGTCAACCTTGGAAGTTGGGACTAGACGTTGTCTTGAACCTCGGCTTAATTTTTTATGCAAACGTCATCATTGTTGACCTTGCAAATAGCCCCCTAAGTTTCGAAGTTCTATACTAAAAAAAAGGAAGAAAAGAAAAATAATGACCCGATTAATAGGGATTCGTGAAAATATGCCCTAAAGCAAGGCTAGTAACCTAGGGTTGGTAATTTACAAGTGAAGTTGATGTAGGGTTGAAAGAAGGGTTGAAAATAGGGTCGACTAAATGTGGATAAGTCAAGCTCCCCGTGGGAACCTGGCGCATCTAGGCTCAGATTTCCCATGGACTGGTCCGTAGATGTGTTAAATCTTGCCTTCAAACTGCTGATCGGCTTGTGGCTTACCGTCCTACCAACTTATGCAGTTCATGGTCATGGATTCATTCCCGAGGTCAATTCCGAGGTCCGGAGGAGCATCCATGGATGTCTACTCCGTAGACGGTGTGTATTCATAATTAATACTCCAAATTCATAATTTCAACTTTAATGTGGCAAACTCGAATTTATGTGAACGTAATCATCTTCAGCCCGACCCACGTTCACGAGATGGATCCGTTTCACTAGTTATATAAAATTTTCAGCTTACACAAACTATGTTGTACGAATCTTTATGTGGCACGCCTAACTGTACGAAAGGTACGGGGTAAATGGGCGTGATTTTTTAATATTGTATATTTTCTTCACGCTCCAACTGGCCAATGCGAAAATAAGTTGTATGTCTAGTAGAATGATTGACTCAAAACTAAAATCAATTTCTCCTTTGTATATTACTTAATCATATAGGTAAAGAAAATCCAAAAGATTACGACTATGTACCTTTTATATGGGTGTGACATATGAAAGATACTTATGTGGTTTATGTAAGGTGAAGATTATATGCAAACAAGACAAACCGACGGCGCTAAACCAACTCTTGTCCCTCTGCCACGCGTTTCTGACTCCTGATCATGTTTAAGGTTTTCTATTTATTGCACAATGCCATTGTATGAAGCAAGGCTATTATAACCTTGAATGATGTAACTAGTTAGAGAAATTATGACGCTTACATAGTAAGAAATATTTGCCAATAATAAATCATAAAAAGAGCAAAAAGGGTTAGAACTATCCCGTGACGATTCATGTTATCAAATAAGACATTCGAACCCCTATAACAACCAATTTCACCCTAACAACCTCTGGCGGGAACGGAAGTTGGTGTTCCCGGCCGGGTACGAGCAAATCCGAATAGTTTTCAACATCCGGAGAAACTGAGCTGCCCGTGATATTTTACCCTGGATATGGGGTGTTCCGATCGGAATTGCTTTGTTGGAGCTTGTATCTCGAATACATTCTCCTTGGCACCGGGTCGAGAGAGCCAGTCAGAAAGTCCAGCCCCTAGAATGGGATTCGCTTCGGGGGCTCCCGGTTCGGCTCGCTGGGGAAAGAGATTGAAGTGGAGAAGAAAAAACTATGATAAGCTCGCAACTTCTACCTGCGATGTTATCATATGCCGATCAAGTTCAATGCACTTTGGACTCAGTTCCCCCCATTTTCCCCCCATTTCCAAATCATATGCCAACAAGAGTCGTTGGCGAAAAAGATGCTTGCAAAAGGCTGCTTGGGGCCTGAGGCAGCAAGGCTAACCATTTTCTAAGAAGCTGACAACCTTGAAGATAATTGCTTAGGTGTGTTTTGGAATCATTGCCTACATGTGAACGGCCTGTGGTTGGAAGTATTCAAACTTATGCTCACAGTCGGAATGATGTCTTTCCATTTTCATAACCACTCCATTCCCAGAATCCTAGATATACCCATGCAAGGTGATTCTCAAAACTGATAATACAGACAGAATCGATAACTTTGGCTGCTTGATAGGCAGATATAATATTCTTGACGTTGTAGGTGCTTGATTTCACCGTCTGCCACAGATGTGTAGTTGCCGCAAACCCTACGGAGTACATCGCACCTGCTTTATGCAATGATGCCAATCTTATATACCCGACGCAGGCATGACGACTCTCTCTACAACTAACTAGCCTCAGACTGCAAGTCATACATTCGCTTCCAGCCCTTCCATCATGAAAAACTGGGATTACGGGAAACTCGCCATTGCCACTGCCGCAATTCTCGGAGTCCTCACACTCGGCGCACTGATATACTTGCTGGTATGGTACGTTCGACGAGGACTGCGCGCCCGGCGGCTTCGTCGCCAGGAGAAGGAGAATGACCAGTTTGACCAGTCCGCAGTGTCTCTCGCCGAGGACACAAGCAGGACCCTAGATCACTTCCTCATGAAGGATATTCAACCTGAGCGGAGTTCAATCATCTTCAGCAGAAGCCGATCCCCATCCATCAGCATCGTCATTGACGACGCGGACGCTGACCGCTGCAAGTCTTCACCTCAGCCTTATCTCACAGAACATCACACTGCAGCTTCTTCATCTGCAGATACCCACGTCCTCTCACAGATCTCGACTCAAAAATCTGGTCCTGATGACCCACGGACTCAGAGGAGCAGCTCGGGACAGCGTTCGTCTAGTACGACGCCACGGGCATCCACCTCGTCGTCCGTCGTCCCAACATCGCAATCATCCCAGGTTTGGACTACGACTTCTGGTGGCACGCCGTCGGAGCAGACTCGGAGTGGTTCAGTACAGCACTCGTCGACCACGACGCCTCGAGCATCCATCTCGTCGTCTGTCGTCCCGACAGCGGGGTCCTCTCAGGTTTGGACCACGACCTCTGCCGAGACTGAGACGTTTTCGCTCCTTAGTCAATCCTCAAACTACTCGCACCACCCTCAAAGCCCCATTGGCCCATCCACCTCCCGCAGCTCACAGATATATACACGTCGTTCGAATGCTTCTGCTGCATCGAGCCATCTGTCCAGTGGGGGTATCTTGCAGTCTGCATCCCGTATGTTCAATGAGGCGGAGGCTGCTCGGATGGCATATTCGAGGAATATAGACTCTGTTGGATCAATGAGTCCCACTTCCCCCATCTCTCCGGTGTTAGTGGATGTTTCAGCTGATAACAAGCTCCCCCAATGGACCTCTGTCCCCCCTTACCCCTTTCCTTTCAGTCAGCTCTGATCTTTGATGACACCCAGTGGGCTTTTTGAATTGGTATTGCTTATTTGCCGTTGATTCAGACCCGATGAAGGCGGATTGGGTTGGATTCAGGTTCCATGCGTGACTAGGGGTCTATTCCTTCTATTTGCTTCCCCCTAACCCTTGATGTCTTTGGAAATCAATGTTGTTGATCCAGTTTTCTTTACTGATACCTCTTATCCATTATGTACAGCGTCCGGGTCTTTTCTAGGGCTACAATGTTTATTTTTTATTCATAAAGACGTGCAGTGATGATGAGTTAGAGATAAACCTAAAAATATATTCCATTGTGAGTAGTTGGACGTGAAAGAATCGAGCAAAATATATAGAACTAACACCCAAGGCCTGGGTTCATGAATTACTTGCGTTGATTTCTTTTGCGTTTGTTAGCGAGGACGAGGCCTTTATTTTTCGTGCGCCAATCCCAGTGGGTACTTCCTCCTTTCATTCGGCGTGTCATGGGTTCCAGTACAGCAATGGAGGTTCTGCCTCTAGATAGAAACATTGCTGATACCAGCGACATCGGTAAACTCACGATGTCTGTCCGCTGTTTTGGCATGACGGTCCGCTTTCATGTTCGACGTTCTAGGAACCCGCCAAAACTGAACGCTCATCCCCCTCTCCTCCCACATTTCCACCTCCCCGAGAAGACACTCCCAAAGGTCCCGATTCCTGATTGGTCCCCAGCACGTGTAACCCAGCTGTACTGTATCGAATCGTATACCTCTCTCATGATACCGTCCACCACGTATTTCGAGTCTGTCGCAATGATCAAACGACTAAAGCCATCCATAGCCCAGTCTCGATATCTCAGAGCCGCAATGACGGCGCGAATCTGCGCGCGGTCCTTTGTCAGCGTGTGCTGTTGGCCAATGGGCCCTTTGTACTCGAGAGGAAAGCGTGCGTAACCAGATGCAGACTCGTTGTAAACAAAGGCACAACCCGCTCTGGCGTTCGGTCTGTCGTTGTCCATACACGTGCCGTCTGTTAAGATGAGGAATTCATCCTCGACGGATCGGTTGTCGTGATTCAGACGAATGAACAGGTGGACTCGGTCCGTTGCTGTGACTTTTGGGCAATGTGGGAACAATGACTGCGGCGTGTCATTTGGATGCGGAGGAGTGAACTCTGTGGGGATGACGCGACCACTACCGACTCTAAGCTCCGTATAGAGTCGAGGAGGCATGTGGGGCGCGAAGTATTGCGCGGGATTCACTTGGTGGAAGGACGTGGTGGTTTGGTAGGCCATAACTTCAAAGTACCCGGGTTTAGCATCTGCCGATGGCCTTTGTATATCAGGCAAAAAATGTACCTTCAAATATAGATGAGGGTGTCCGAGTTGGATAATGGGGAGATGACGGAACACGACAAAATGGTAGCGAGCCTCGCTCCTTCCATACTTGTCCTGGATGCCTCAGGCCGGGATGACAAAAATCAATAATCATTAGCTATATTTCTTGGTGAACTACCAAAAAAATAAGTAAAGGGGACCTCCACGCGCCTCGCTATTCCAGTACTGGACACGCTGCAGAGATAAAAATCGACAAAGATTAAAAGCACATACAGAAGCAAAGTTCTCGAACACATGTCCGCCATGAGATATACAGGAAATGATAGCTGACACAAAAAGAATGTGGAAGTAAGTCCTTGAGATCTATCCGGATATATCATCTTCATCTTCATGCATTCGTATCGCGCACACTGCGTAGGCACCGTTCAAGCCGTTTGCCACGCTCCTTTTCGCGTACAAGAGTATCCTTGACAAACGATCGGATGGCGTCACGGCCAACCCTTTCCCGCCATGAGGTCCAGCCAGCGAGTTCGCCCACCACGACATCCTTGTTCCACGAAATCTCTTTCGCCAACCGAGTAGACTCGGATTCGCCCTCACGAACCTTTTGTTCGAGGTCACGGACGGACTTCTGGCGAGACTCTTCGAAGCCTGGCAGGTTTATATTGAATTTGCGGGGGAGGGAGGAGGAGAGGAGCGAGGAGCGAGAGCGAGAGGTATGGCGGTTTGTTGAAGAGAGGGAGGACATAAGGGCCAGTGGACGAGATAGAGATATCAGAATGGCGGCTGTTGTGTTGTCGACTGAGGAAAGAGCTGCCAAATACTGCAGGAGAGGGGAGGAGTCAGATCTAGAGGTCGATAGGTAGGTGGCGTAACGAGCAAAGGCCTCAATGTGAGAGATCGGAAGTGCATTAGTGGGCGCCCGGAGTGTAGAAAGGACAGATGAGCATATCATCACCGCATCAGCGAGATCGGAGGCTGCATTATGCAATGCGTGCCCTCGGCGAATCAGCGAACGCGTATTAACGTGTACACCGCGCACTATGTCCTGGGCGTGAGTGATAAACTGCTCTGTGTCGCGCATGCCCTCCAGTGAGACTGGCGCATATTCGTCCGCGATAGTTTCTGTGAGCACGGCAGCCTTGCGGTACGATCGGTCTGCAACCATCTCAGGCTGAAGTTCTGGAACGAGGAAGAACTCCCACAGCATTTCGTGAGTTGAAAAGGTTGGATGAGCGAGGAGCGTCTTAAGGAACCGATCCAGTCTTTCCTGGAGATCATGGAGCACAGATCGTGATGGCTTCGAGTGGATCTGGAATGGATTCCGGAAATCCGAGAGAGATGGCATGTAAGATGCCGGATGCTCCACTGCAAGCCATTTAGCCAGATTCTCAAAGTCGGAGAAATTACGGCGACAGGTCGTAACGGTGTATGTTGTCGATCCGGGCCGCGACGATGCCACGGATTCGGTGGGAGGAAATGGCGCGCCTGATTTGAGAATGAATCGCACGGTTGCGTCCTCGACGAAGTACGATCGCACGACCGTTGTGACCCGACCCGAAGGATCTCCGCAAGCCGATGGAGGATGGGACAACAAGATCAAATCATCGATGCGATTCCGCACCTCATCATCCTTGGCCAATTCCACCGCAGTCAAACCACGGGCTTCTTTAATATGAACGTCGACTCTTGGGTCTAAGAAGAGAATGCGGACTTGATCAACTCGTCCGTACTTGCTGGCCATCATCAACGGTGTAAATCTCTTGTCGTTGGTCGCGTTGGGATCGCAATCGCTGTCCTGCAATATGCGCCTGGTGATATCAGGGTCACCAACAATATGCAGCAGTGTGTTCCCCTTCATATCGACATGATCATCAAGCTGAAGCGGTTTATTGTCGCCCTGTGCCCATTGCGCTGCAGTCAAAGCGGCTTGGACCATTGATTTGTATTCTGGATGATCATACGACCGACAGAGTGCAAAGAGCGGGGTTTGTCCATGTTTGTCTCGTTGTCGCCATGGGATAATGCTGCCAAGTCTCTCTAATAGCGAGGGTGTGCTGAAAAGATAATGAGCAACAGTGCGACCGTGAACGTCGGATTTGGTCAAATAGGACGCAACCACGCTTATATCTGTCTTTGCAAATAGGAAGTCCAGAAGGATCTTAACTATCTCAGTGTGTGCGAGTTGCACCGCAGCGTTTAATAACGTGGTCCCATCGGTATTGGTGTCTTGAATGATTTCTTCCAAGGGGTAGTATTCTTCTAGAGTCAACATGTACTTCAAAGCCTCCGTCTGACGGGCCTCCACTGCCATCATCGGTATGGAATGACCAGCAGGATCTTGGGTTTTTGTCAAGGTCTCAATCGAATTGTCACCTTCAATTCCACTGGCCATGGATCCGAGGGTTGCGGTCCTGGAGATGAATGAGACGGCCGATGACTCCGAAAGGCTGCGAACGTCCATTGAAACCTTCTTAACTGGACGGTGCGGGTGAGATTCTTGGATAATCGAGAGATCATCCCAAGTTTGGAATGGGAAAACATGGGAGAGCGGTGGTGCATCGACAACAGCTTCATCCAGGTATGAGTCGCCATTCGTATGACTCGTGTAAGAGTGATCAAGAGGGAGATCATCTGGCTCGTCAGCTTCATCTGTCTGGAACAGTACAGACTTTCGCCCCGGTTCCGGTGGAGTCGTGTCATCTATTGCGCCATGATCCTCGTTCGGTTCCAGTATAGATTTCATATCCGATATTCTGCCCGCTTTTGTTGCTTGCCACAAACGTCTGTTCCGAGCGCTGGCACGACGTAATCCGGCGGAATCGGTGACGAGATACATCAAAACAGCTTCAAATGTACTTAGAGCATATCCCATCTCGCCATTATCAACGTCGTCGATGTAAATAAAATGCTGCATATACAACAGTCGAGCTTGGAGATGCCGTGTTTGAGAACGAATGACAACAATAAGCAACAACGAGACTAAGACATCGGCGTTGATCGTGACAGAGGAAGTTCCCTTCTCAGATGGCGAGCCGTCCAGTTGATCATAACTTCCCGGGAAGGAGATAACCTTGACTGTTCCAAGGAGAGTATTCAGCATATCATGGGGACATCGAGCGTCATTAATCTTCCGAAATTCTTCCACAGCTCGCCCAAGTCGGCGAATCAGTTCTCGCTTCCCTTCACGTCCACCTTCAACAGAGATTCCGACTTGGGATACATCGATGCTCTCCATCTGGCGAATGCGGGAATCCAGCTCTGTATCCTCTGGTTGGCGGAATGAACACAGACGAGGGAAAAGCAGCGGCTCGTGAACTTGCTCGGCGACATAACGTTCTATCAGCCGCTCCACTAGAGGACCGGTGAGGTCAGTGGTTGCACCAAGCAACGATAATTGCTGCTTGTCAACGAGGCGGAAAAGATCAATGGCAGCAGTCACCGCGGTTTCTAAGCTCCGGCGCATGAGATCTTCGTCATCCTCGAAGTACTCCTCAGAGTTGAATGGCAATCGCCCTCTGCTGCGTGATGACCAGCTGCGGATAGAAGAGCTTTCGTCTGTAAAAGACTCGACGCGTGACAACTTGTGGACACGTTCACTGCCGGATGCAGATGGCGACCGAGAAGGTGGAGGTGGCAATGGTTTACCAAGTTCTTTTCCAAACTCTTTGAATAATCGTTCCAGGCCCGGATGCATCTGTCTCGCAATCATCGGGTAATTGGCTAGCAGTTCCCCGAAAGATTTGATCTCTTGTTTTGGTGGTGTCCCAATTGAATCTCCGTTTCCATACCTCCTATCTGGTGTAGTTTGTCCGACCATGCTGGCGCCACTTCCAGGGACTACGGCTGGGATGATCTTCGCGGGGTCATATGTTCCGATCAACGGGCGAGAGATGTAGTAAATCAGCCATGGGCGCGATTCATTGGACGGGTTGTAATATAGCACGTCGGAAAGCAGTTGGGCTTGTGTGAGTGACTTGAATCCTGATAGAGATGATCTCTGTTAGCTAACATATATGGGCGAGTGCATTCACCAGCAAGTGCTCTCACCCTTGTTGCTGTATACTGAGTTGTCCTTGATGATCACCGTCCGGCCATTAAACGTGGTCACCTGCTTTGCTTTGCCTCTGTTTTCTCGCACATTGCTCTCCTCTTTCGAATTCGCAGAGACAGTGTGGATTGGGATGCGGAGCACATGGCTCCCTAAAAACTCCTCTGACGCGCAAAGATCGGAATATAGCAGGTTCGACTCCCGGTCGCGTGAACCGATGAGAGACTCTGTCGTTGGAACTAGCAAGACCTAAGGCGTACACACAAGATCAATTAGCCACTCCGGATGATCCGCCGACATATGCACAGCTTCCACCTACATGATTCTCAACCGGTAAACACTGGCCGGGGACAGTGCTTCGAAAGAAGGCACGGAGGAAAGGGTTTAGAGGGTGCATCCAAACGGTTTTGGACGGCCCAGTCGAAAGACTCCAGCAATCATCAAGCCGTCCGTCTCAAATCTCCGAAGCAGGGGATATGTGCGCCGTAAGATTTCGCGGGGAAGGACAGCTCGCATCCAACAGGCAGCGGCGCAGTATGAAGCCAGAGTGGGTCGTTGAATTAAGTGGACAGAGCTGCAAATAGGCTCGAACAAAAGCACAATGCTAGATCGCAGAAAACAAGAAGCCACAAATATAAGAGTTGACGCAGAAGCACATGTGTCGCGGGTAAATCCAGAACGTGATCGACAAGTTGATGGGCGCTATACCGCATTGGGTAATTATTTCATTCAATAAACTGCGACCTCGGGTTCCTCTTGCGTAGCTTCGGAGATTTCCTAATTCCATAAGATATTTCATCATGGCAGAAATTATGCATCGGGCTCAATATCCATTTACAGAGAGGTGTTGCAAGTGGAGTTTGTGTAGTCCTGTCATGAGATTTCTAATATACAGAGAATAGATGGC